GAGTCGTTAATTCCCTTTGATTTTTGACAAAACAAATCAGAGCTGCTTTTTTTTGCTTATTCTTAAAATCAGCTGAGTATGTATACTACATCAAATCCGAAGAAATGCACCTAGGCTACTATCGGACCAATTGTGCGCTCATTTTTATGAAAAAAAAGTTCACTGAATGAATTATTTTCCAGTGTTAGGAAACTCAGATTCCTAGACGTAATTCCTAAGAATCTTCCAATCAGTGTTAATCAGGAATGTTTTTTCCGGAATAACATTACTTCCAAGATACTTGGACCTAACTTCGACGAATGTCTGACAGTGGCAAAGAAAGTGCTCTACATTCGTCTGAATCCGCTCGGCCAATTTTGTATAGATGTGCTCGTAGTCCTGTGTGTCCACTCAGAATACGTACCATCATACTAACTTCAGACTTGCTTATTTTAAGGAGATTTTTCGTCGTGTTCTCATCAGGTTCACCCAGGATCTTTGTGGTTCTACCCACCGTTTCATTATTCCAAGAGGCCTTATGGGAATCATATGATGTAAACCTTACCTCTGGGAGAGTATTCAGTTAAAGCTTTCTTACAATCAAATAAGGTCTTAGATTTAATTCTATCACCTGATATCGCCCTAATTGCCTTCTGGCTGTCGGTAAATATATTAATGGCTGTGGGCGCCATATTTATTCTAATCCAATTTACGCATTCCGTTATTGCTCGGATGTCTTCCTAGAAGCTTGTGTTATGATTAGGTAAACGGTGGTATATTTCTGTTTCTGGGTCTTCAATATAGAACCCCAGCACCACTTCGTCCCCCAACTTGGAGCCATCCGTGAAACAACGGATTTCTACTGGTATTTGCTCTAATGTTCCGTTTGACCAATACATTCTATCTAAAATCAGCGTTTCAAAGTTTCCTATATATTCTGTGTCTGATATGCGATCAGGCACGTAGGTTTACATGGACAGCCAGCCAGCCAGCCGGATAGACGGACGGACATGGCTTAATCGACTCAGAAAGTGATTCTGAGTCGATCGGTATACTTTGAAGTGGGTGTTGGACCAATCAGAGCCGTGCATATTAAATATTTTTGTCTCTACATAAATATTGTTACACCAAGTTTACACGGAGCAGTTGAATTACTTAATTCGGCCTCTGAATGACAATGGCAAATTCACCCGTTTCTACGACACATTCGTAATTCGTTTTGACAGTTCATCGCCATATTGTTTTTTTCATTCATTATTTTGTAATTTTTTGGAATATATTCCAAATATATATTTGTGTGTGTGTACAAAAATACGTTTATTACATTATTTCAACAGTTTAAGTTGTATATTTTCTATTTAGCTATTTTTTTGTCTCCAACCAATGAAAACAAACAGCTGATTATGATTGTTAGTGCAAGAGTAAAAACACTTTATTATTTTTAACCCACTTCAAATACGAAAATGAAACATAGTCACTTTTGTAATTTATTTTAATTTGTCAATAATTTTATAATATTTTTCATTAATAAAAAACATTTGGTTAGAATAAATACGCCAACATTAGCTTTCATTTTCTTGTTCGGTTGAAAATAATTTTTGCATTTTTATCTTTGCCAATTCGTGTTTGCCTATTCGCGTATTATAAAAATTCAAGATAATGTCAACATACAATTTAAGAAGTTGTGCAGCCGCACAAAATCTCCCTGCTAGTGTTCCGGACTCCGTTAATGACAATGATCAAGAATTAAATTCCACCATGATTGAACCAATACAATCAATGCCTGTCTCTGCCGAAAATGACCAATTGTGTGCAATAATGGCTGGTACTAATGATTTAACCAGAGCTGTTTCTGAAAGCCGACGAGACATCGACTTATTAAGAAGTCAGATACAACAACATCCGCAAAGATTTAGTGGCAAATCTGAATTAATTTTGCCACATCAAGAGCCATTTAGACTTGATAATCAATCACGACATAATGTACCACAAGGATTTGTTTCGCCACATCAAGATCCAGTCAGATTTGAAAGCCAAAGTACTGATCCTGGACGAAATATTCCAATGGAAATTTCTTCAAATTATAATCCATGCAAAATTTACGATTTGCCTGTTTTCTCTGGAAAGCCTGAAAAATGGCCACTATTTTATGCAAACTTCAAAGATAGCACCAATGAATTTAATTATAATCATCGCCATAATAATAATGCCTTGTTGGTGATACAAAAGAGGCCGTTGCATCGTTACTTATCTATTCAAATGATGTACCAAAAATCATAGAAGAATTAGAATTCCGCTTCGGCAGACCTGATCTGATTGTACGTTCCCAATTACAAATGATCCAACAATTTCCTTCAGTAAGTGTAAAAAGATTGGATCATGTTATTACCTTTGCAACTAAGGTGAGAAACATCTTCTGAATACCACTTTGCTAGAGTAATTAGTAATAAAATTGCATCTCGATAAGCAGTATGAATGGGCCAGATCAAGTATGTCAATTAAACCGTATGCAACGATTGAAGATTTCTCCAATTGGGTTGGAGAATTGGCTAAAATAATAAGTGTTATGACAATTAATATTCCACATGGTAATCAAACCCGTCCTGTGATGATGATTGAACAACAGAAACACGAGAAACAACAGAAACCAAAACAAACTCTAAAGTGTTATTTGTGTAATGGTCAACATGCTATATATAATTGCCAAAAATTTACTGAGGAACTAACAGTTAACACTCGTTGGGAAAAGGTTAAAGAGTTAAAGCTTTGTTTTTGCTGTATAAAGAAAGGTCATGGTACATCTAACTGCCGTTTGAAGAAAGCATGTGGAATAAGTAATTGCAAGCGCCCACATCATCCAATTTTACATGAAGACAAGGCAGCACCAGCTCCATCTTCTGCAGTTGAAGAAACTAAGCCTCTTCTCAACTGCAGAAGTCGTCGCATAGAGGCAAGTAAATTATTTAAAATATTACCAATAAAGATATTTGGTCCTGTTTCTTGTTTTAAAGGATTTGCCATATTTGATGAAGGTTCGTCCATTTCTCTAATGGATGAAAACATTTCTAAACAGCTGTGGTCAGCCATCTACACTAACTCTTCAATGGTATGGCGACAATGTTGTATCTGAGAAATCATATAAAGTCAATTGTGAAATCGAAGGCGTTTGTGTACCTAGAATTCGTTATGCCCTAAAGAACATATATACTGTAAGCAAGCTAAATTTACCCGTACAGTCCTTTAGGAAGAGTGCCTATCCTTGAATTACGTAATGAATCCTGGTGCGTATAAAGAACACGATCAAATCAACATGGAGAAGCAATCTTCTACTGATAAAATTCTTGGAATGTTTTGGAATAAACACGATGATTCGTTTGAATTTAAAACAAAATTTTTAAATCTTCATCCTGATGTATATAATGGTGTACGGGTTCCTACCAAACGAGAAATGCTCAAAATTGCTATGGCAGTTTTCGACCCATTTGGTTTAATAGCAGACTTTTTCTTCATTCGAAATAGAAAAAGAATATTGGTTGGGATGATCAATCCCCGAGACTTTACATACAAAATTCAAAGCTTGGTGGGATGAATTTAAAGAAGTTGGGAACTTCAAAATACCACGGTGCTTATCTCCTATATTGCACAAAGCAGATAATATTCAACTTCACGTTTTTGCCGATGCCAGCCAAGACGCCTTTGCAGCTGTGTGTTATTTGAGAATTTCCATGAGTCTAAAATTAATATTTCCTTCATAATTGGTAAAATTCGGTGCGCCCCCAAAAAGTTAATGAGTATTCCTCGGTTGGAATTACAAGCAGCCGTGTTAGGAGTACGTTTAAGCAAAGTTATAATAGCAGGTCATGAATTCAAAATTTCGTCAATATACTATTGGTCGGATTCGCAAACTGTTATAAGTTGGGTAGATCGTCGTTTTAAAGCATTTGTAAACCACAGAGTTGCTGAAATATTGGAAAATTCGTCACCCACTCAATGGAAATGGATCCCAATAAACCTTAATGCTGCAGATGCTGGTACACGACCGACAAATCCTCCAAAATTTATTAAAAATAGTTTGTGGATAACAGGACCTGCCTTTTTAAATAACTCCCCAAAACAAAAATGAAATAAGTCCTCAAATTTGGGGGCTTATTTCATTATGAAATAATTCCCCAATTTAAAAATTAAAAAAAGCCGCAATGAAATGAAATAACTTCCTAAATTAAAATGAAATAACACTCCATTTTTGGGAATTTATTTCATATAAAATCAAATCCGTAATTTTAAAATGAAATAAGTTCCCATTTAAAAATAACGAATTATGGAAGTTGGTTTTAGTGACATTTCTAAAAAACTTAGGTCGCTCATACTTTCGAGTGGGACTTCAATGTTTAATACATTTCAGTTTAATCGCTTAATAAAAATTCCCTTAATAGCCGGCCTGCGGCCGGGCGCAAGGACTTTCTACTCTATGGTATGTCCAACAACGGCTTCGCTTACGCAACGGTTTACCTCTCTATAATATGACCAACACCGGCTTCGCTTAGTAAAGATTTCCTAAATAGCCGGCCTAAGGCTGAACACTCTTGATACAGGGAGAGTGTATTCTTAGCGAAGCCGGTGTCCAATGTACCCCAGAGGATAAAACCCTTGCGCCCGGCCGAAGGCCGGCTATCAGACATATATTATTTTATTTCGTGTGATAAAAGTAATATAATGAAATAACTCCCCAAAAATATTTTTAGGGATTTATTTCATTTTTGAATTTTGAGGAATTATTTCATAATGAAATAACTCCCCATTTTAAATGTGAAATAATGCCCCAAAAAACAAATTAAATCCCCAAATTTCGTTGTTTTTGCTATCTGAACAAATTTTTAGGGAGTTATTTCATTTTTGTTTTTGGGAGTTATTTCGTGGGGAGTTATTTCATGACTCCAGTAAAGCCATGTTTATTTACTACGAACAATACTTCTGTTATTAAGTTCTCTCGATTTTCATCATATACTAAATTAAAGAGATGTATGGCTTGGGTTCTTCGTTTCATAAAAAGAACTCACTCGACAGATGATTTAAGAATTGATGAAATAACATATGCAGATATTATTATATGTCGTTTAGTACAAAGCGATTGTTATCAAAACGAGATAAAGTATCTCCAAAACCTGAAAGCTGTGCCTAAATCTAGTACGATACACTCATTGGTTCCTTACTTGGATGAAAATCTATTGCTTAGAGTTAATGGACGTTTAGATGAAGCCGTTTTTCTACCTTTGAATGCAAGAAGGCCAATTATCTTACCTCAAAAGCATTATGTTTCTGAACTCATAATGAAGCACTATCATGTTAAAAATCATCATCAGAATATGGCGATAACTATTAACGAACTGCGACAAAAATGTTGGATACCCCGTATAAAATCCGCATACAAAATGGTAGTTAAGAAATGTTATGTTTGTAGATATGATAATGCCAAACCTACACAATCATTAATGGGAACTTTGCCACCTGATCGTGTTAATCCATTCGTGCGGCCATTCTCTTATAGTGGAGTTGATTTATTTGGTCCTTTTAATGTTGCTATTGGTCGCCGTAAGGAAAAACGCTGGGCTGTACTATTTACATGCTTAACAACTAGAGCAGCACACATTGAGTTAGCTGAAAATCTTTCGGCAGGTGCCTTCATTTTGTGCTTTAGGAACTTCTTAAATAGACGTGGAACGTCTGTTAGATTGCGAAGCGATAATGGCACAAATTTTATTGCATCTCAAAAACTTTTGAAAAAAGAAGTAAGACTTCTAAATATTGATGAAATTACAAAAGAAGCAGCCAAACATGATATTGATTGGATTTTCAATTGTCCGGCTAATCCCAGTTCTGGTAGTTAATAAGGATAGTAAAACGCTTACTACTAAAAACATTGAAAGAGTCCACACCACGCCTTGAAACACTACGGAGTGTTCTTATTGAAGCTGAAAATATAATAAATTCTCGTCCCTTGATTGAAATTCCAGTTTCATCTGAAGATGATGAGCCCTTTACACCTAATCACTTCTTACCAACGAAGAAAATGTATGGAGAATTGCACAAAACTTGAAGGACAGATTGTGGAAAAGATGGGTTATTGAAACCCTTCCGCAACTAATGCAAAGACCAAAGTGGAAAGATGCTGTTAGAACACTGCAAATAGACGATATCGTCTTAATTTTTGATTCAGGTCAACCAAGACACCAGTGGCTTAAGGGCAGAGTTTTAAAAACTTTTCCTTCCAGAGATGGTTTAGTACGCTATGTCGATGTCAAAACCAAAACCGGAGTTATTCGGCGACCAGCTTCAAAATTAGCTGTTATGAATTTGTCAAGTGGTGAATCAATAGCTGGTTCACGAAGGGGGAATGTTAGTGCAAGAGTAAAAACACTTTATTATTTTTAACCCCACTTCAAAAACGAAAATGAAACATAGTCACTTTTACAATTTTATTTACTAGGCATATCGGTAAGAATGTAGGAATAGCTACTTTTCCACACACAAGTATATTATAAACAAGTATAGTATAGTCGGGTGTGACCGACCTACACCAGTTATGAAAATTAAATGTGATTTATTTTTCATAATAAAGCATTTATCTTCAATATTACTTTGTTGCGATACATTTAAACAATTTATGGATGAAAAACTAATTTTTTGAAAGAGGCTTTATATGGGGGGTAGAGGCAAATATGGACCAAGCCCGATAAACACGTATGGTCCAAATTTCATCAAAATATCTTGAAAATTGCGACCTGTACCTAGCGCACAAGGTTTACATGGACAGCCAGCCAGCCAGCCGGACAGATGGACGGACATGGCTTAATCGACTCAGAAAGTGATTCTGAGCCGATCAGAGCCGAGCAGATTAAATATTTTTGTCTCTACATAAATATTGTTATACCAAGTTCACACGGAGCAGTTGAATTACTTAATTCGGCCTCTGAATGACAATAACCAATTAACCCGTTTCTACGACACACTCGTAATTCGTTTTGACAGTTCATCACCATGTTGTTTTTTTCATTCATTATTTTGTAATTTTTTGGAATATTTGTGTATGTGTATGATACAAAAATACGTTTATTACATTATTTCAACAGTTTAAGTTGTATATTTTCTATTTATCTATATGTTTTGTTTGTTTTAATTTTAAGTTGCCCCCTTAACAGTATAATACCACTAAGGAGGGATTATTTGGCCTCGAAATATTCATAACGGCATCACCTAAAAGAGCCTCGTCCAAGAACTGCCAATCCGACCTATACCTTCGTATAGGAAGCTAGAACTCCCGAACTCCGCTCCTGAGCTTATTGATCTCCACCAAAATCTTAAATGAGTTTTCTTTGGTACTCCACCATGAATCAAAGAAAATTTTAGGTTATCAAATAAAATGCATGTGGTTAATTCAGGAAGCTTCGAAGTACCGTAACGAGGTACAGTTATGTGACGCAACGCACTAAACCAATGCGAGAGTGAAACGCATACTCTCGAAGGCAGCGAAAGAAGGACGGCCTGATTACCATTATATATACCCTGTGGTTGAATGAGAGCGTGAATTACGAATAATTGCTTCGTGTGAACGGGGTATCAAAATTCAAAAAATTCAATTGGAACGATGAAATAGTGGAATAATTTCTGCCTTTGTTGAAATGTCTAACAAAAAGAGTACCATTTCCCCCTTTTCACCTAGAAATACACTTTTTCGAGAATTAAGTTTACAAAATATTTCTTGTTCAAATCACAAATAAAACTCAAAAGATTCAAATCTGCATTTATTTGTTCCAGAAAAATTGTGCTTTCAAAAAGTACCAAACAATTTACCCGAATTTGGTCCTATAGAGGCCTTAGTACCCGAATTCCAAAATAATATGCCATAATGCCAAATAATATGCCAATAAGCCATAATTTTTTCAAATTTTATAAAAATTGGTTTAATGAGTTTGAATTAAATTAAATTTCCCGTTTTCCCCCAGAGAAATAGCAAATATTAATGTAAACTAAATATTTGCTATTTCTCTGGGAGAAAATGTACCTATAGGTATATGTCAATAAATCGAAAAAGTTTTCTTAATGTGCTAAAAAAAAGTACCAACTCTAAATTTCTACTTTCAAAATTCTTAACATATAAATAGTTTAGTGAGTACGTCCCGATAAACAAAGTACTACTCCATGGAACACAAAAACTATTACCAAAATCACATAAAAAAGACGACTCACTTTAACGATACAAATTATGTAGTAAACAATCAATTTTCATCAATCAAATCAATAATTACATACCTCTTCGAGTACTTTCCATTTTACAAAAATGAATAAGAGGAATACTTTCTGTTTATCCCACTATTGTTTTCGTCTATAGCTTAAGCGCCAAATGTATGAAAATAGTCCAAACAAACAACATCCAACTTGGTTGCCTCCTGACTCCAATGTTTTGCACTTGTCTATTCCAAAATGTTATCTACTATCATCATTGCATTTGGAAAATTGTTCACTTCAACAGTGGACATTTTGCCTCAAAAACTGGTCATTCCACTTATAGTGCACTGTAACGGACTTTGTTACCGGGCGTGCTCAGGGAAATTGGGATGGTGTTCTTGCCTCTATATAATTGAACTAAGTTCGATCATAATTTATTTAAAAATTAGGTAGAATAATTTCCAAACAGACAAACAATAAAACAAAATAAAAAAAATATTTTGAATGATAATTTCGATTCGAAATTAATACTATTAAATTATTCCTTCCGTCTTTTAACTTATCAAATGTTTTATTTCCTTTTCCGTTTGTATTTAAAATTCAAATGTTTAAAATAAAAATATTTCAACATTTGAATGCCTTTGACATAGAGTAGACTAGAGAGCCAACTCTTTCCGAAAAATCCTAACTCAGCTGTCAAAAATACTTCTTTAGATGTATTAGTTTATAAAATCTTTTTACCACACATAAAATACCCACATATGTAGTTGCACAAAATTGGTCGAAATAATAGTACCATGCTTTTATTGCAATAATTTTCTTCAGTTAATACATTTAAAATTGTAGATTGCTTTTATAAAAATATGATAATATTTTTCATGCATTTTACAAATGTAAAATTCTTTAATTTTTTTGAATTTCACAAATTTGTTTAATACTAAAAATGCTACTTTGCATCTTCAATTTTAAATTAGAAAACCAAAAAATTAAATATCAAATAACTAAATAATAAAATTTTTTGATTTGTGAAAATTAAAAAGATTTTGATGAAGAAATTATATTAAAATAATTGTAAAAAAATAAAAAATGTGTGCTTGTGTTATAAAAATTGTGCCCGAATCGTTTTTTGTGCGAATTTTGGAGTTTATATTGAATATTTTTTGTTGTAGCTTTGTGTTGAATTCTCACAGAACATGTAGTGTGAAGAGAGAAAGCTCTTTTATTCGTGGTAAAGCCTGAGTTGGCCATCTATGTCATCTATGGCCTTTGATTTCATAGTTATGCATTGAATACAGCAGGCTACACGACTACACGAAAACAAATGCTGCTGTGCTGTAGTTGTAGTCGTGTAGTAGCTACTGAATTATTTTAAAGACTACAGCTACAAAGTAATATAAATAAACAGCTGTTTCTTGTTGATATGAATTTATAATTCAGTGGTGTCACTTTATTTTTTTTTTTTTACTTTTTTTTTTTAATTTAAGATTTAAACTATTATTTTGAGTAAAAATATATATGTTGTAATAATTTACGTACCTATTATTAATTAATTCCAATATGGTTATCAGAACTTCTCTTAATAAAGTAAAAAAAATTATATTTTTTAAGCACTTAAATTTTTTATTATATTAGCAACACTGTTTCTGTTTTGTGGTTGACAAAAATAGAAATTAGCTTAATTCGACTGCAGCTACAAAAGTAGTCGAGTGGTCGTGTAGCTGTACTGTCGTCAAAAGAATCGTCTTCATATAAACGTGTGTATTTTATTTTTGACAGATTGCAGTTTGTAGTCTGCTGTCTTCAATGTGTTCAATGCATTACTTAAAATAAATTTTATTTGAGTATTTTCAAAATGAGCAGGTATTAAATACACTCAAAAAAATAATAAGTACTAGCCTCACAAAACAGATACAGTTTTGAGTAATGTCTCAAAAAACTGGATCTGTAGAGGCGAAAGAAAGAAATACAATTTTGATAAACTAACATTTTTAAGTTCACATATCCTTGCATGGTAAATTCCTCTAGCCTTATTATCTACATTTCAAGCTCATAATAAACTTGACCAATTTTTCTAATAATTTTATCTTTAACACCAATGGGAGCTAGTTTTTAATTAAAATGTTGAACTTTTGAACCTTGAGTAAATTACCCTCTGTACAGGTAAATTATATGTCCTTGAATTTTTCTCATACGCTTTACGCATGAGTTCTCGAATTTTGTCTCTTATCAAAACGAATTCGTCTTGTCGTTCAATTATGGAGTCAGCCTCAGCCAAAATATTTAGTTTACGTAACTAGTCATAGTCTTTTCCATGTGAAATCATAGTCTATCCGAACACAATTTTATAAGGTCTATTGTCAATATTTTGGTGAATACTATTTCTTAAGGAGCAATTAATGCTATGAATGCTTTGTCCTAATATCTTTGATCATCTCGTACGTATGATCTCAATGCTTCATTGATAGAACGATTTACACGCTCACTAGTGTTCGCCTGCGGATTGTTAACGGCTGTCAAAATGTGTTTAACTTCATTATTTTTCAAGAAGTTTTCAAAGTTCTATTAAATTGTAAACCATTATCAGGAATAATGGCTTCTGGTACTCCATAACATGGAAAAATGTCAGTCCTAAGGTAATCAATTATATGTTTTGAAATGAATT